GGTGAGCATGGCCGTACCCACCATGGAGGTCACCGGTATATTTTCTGAGACGTATACAATAAAAGTCGTGACATAAGATAAGTGGAGAGTAACAGCTGACTCAAATGACCGGATCCAACGCAGGCTGAACGCACATCGGTCGCAGTGCAGAAGTCTTATCAATTCACTGAAAAACTATGATAATCTGGTCCTGGCACCGTCTCACTGCCTCTTCCTCTACTTGCAGCAAAATTGCAGCTATTTTCTTCTTCTTTGGCAGTTTTGGCAGCGCCTTTCCCGGTGCTGTGTGCTGATTATGATACAGCACTGCCGCCACCACATTGGCAGGATGTCACAACTGCAAATGACAGAAATTCACCCAATGCAACACCTGTTAGAAAATAGGGTATTCCATGAAGACAAACAGGGAGGCGACACAAAATCTGAAGCGGACGGCAGCCTGGCATTTCTCTATGCTCTGTTGTGTGTGCGCAGACAGGACAATACTTTTCAGAAAATGGTGAAAATAGTTTTTTCTCCAATGATTTCTAACAAAAGGTGCTTTGTCTTTTCCACACCGCTCCAGAATTCATCACATCAATAGCTCACAGCGATATCCTCTTTAGTTGAAGCAGGATTTAAGGTTTCAAACGGCTTGCCAAGGAAAAGTTGGCTGAAGAGCTCCTCAAGAGAGTTCCCTGAGCCTTGATCTGCTGAAAAGCTGCAGATACGAAGAGGGGGAGGCGGGAAAATCCTTGAGCGCTTGTCTACCTCTTAAACCCCAGCTGCCAGCAACCCTCAGGACGCTCAACACACTGCCGGAGGAGACACTGGGCTCCTTTACAATTATTCAACCCTTGGCTAAAGCAGATATTTGTGAAACCAGCTCCACTGTCCACTGGGCGTGGAATAAAGAGGTTCCTGCAGCACCTCAGGAGACCGACTGGTCAAACAACAACAAAGATGAAGCTTTTTTTTTTTTTTTTGCTGCTTACCCAGAGAGGTAACAAAGTGTTCGTGGGCACACAGGGTTTTCATGCAGCGCTTGTTCTTGTAGTCCCAGATCCTTAAGGTTTTATCATCTGCACAGGTCACAATAAACTTGCCTCCAGGGTGGAAAAGGATGCCACGCACCCAGTTGTCATGGCCAACCTGTGGGACAAACAGACACTGCTAAAGACACCAGTTGCAAACCAATTCATCTCACTCATAAAGCAGAAAGCTTTCACTCTCTCTTTCTTTCGCCCAAATATTTAAATACACATATTTATACACAAATTATAAAATAGTTTACTCAGAGGCTATTAGCCTAAAACGGTCCTCACCAGTGTCATAAGGCACATGCCAATGCTAACATCCCACATCTTGATGGTTTTGTCTCTGGAGCCAGACAGCAGGAAGGGGCCTGGCTTACCACTCTTCTTGGACTGGTGGGGGACAAAGAGAAAAGAATAAGTATGGAGAAAAATGATACAAAACATATATACGTGTGCAAGTCATTAAATTAAAGATAATATTACACCTTTATCCAAATAGAAGCCTTTTTGTCAAAAGCATTAAGTCTCAACATTGTAGAAGTAGTATCAAAGACCAAATGCAACAAATTGCTGTCAAAGTCATTTATTTTAAAATAACTGACTGCTGACAACATCTGTCTCTGGCGTCACGTCTCCATCAGCCGCCATTTATCTGTCAGTACTATGCAACTTATGTGCTTCTCTCATTTTAATTATGAAACAAAACAGCCAAAATCAGTGGAGGTCTGTTTTTCACTGGGACAACTGCTGCAGGGGCAAATATTGTTTTAATCTGACAAGGCTACAATTGGACACACTTCAGATCACAAGGCATGAGGGGGGAGTCTGGGCTGACTCTAGGCCATGCTGATATTCTGTCTGTATTCATGCACACACTCTTCATTTCAAGCTGGTCTGTTCACATGGCTATGCATGTAGAGAAGGAACACACTCTCCCTCATCTGATAGAGAGAAAACCACAGTGAACTCAATCAAACTTTGTTTGCCTTGGTACATAACCATGAGTTTACCTGTTAGGGTCTGCTTTCACTCAAGGATGCACATGAGCTCCTTCACCACGATTTGTGTGTGACTGGCAGCATCTGGTTGTACCATAATGACTGTTCTGGTCCCGCCTATTTTTCCTCCAGTGAACGCCCACTGGTCCACTGTCTGCCCTGCTGTGATTAATCCCACTGTACACCACCTGAACATTAGTCTGAATACCTCACACTGAGATCTGTAGTGTAACTGTAAATCCACCCTTGCATATAGTTTAGTGTATGACTGAGAATATAGTTGGTGTAATAAAAAGATGTGCAGAGCTGAACCCATTAGAGAGATGAAAGGAGTTGTTTCTGGGGAAACGGTAAGAGGTGTGAGCCGTTCTTTACCTCAGAGCCTGTGGCGTCTTGGATGGTGGGGTAGGCGCTCTCCGGTGCCCAAGAGATACACTCCACCACATGTTCGTGCTCTCGCAGCTCAGCCTTGCACTCTTTGGAGGCCACGACCCACACGCGCACCGTTTGGTCGTTGGAGCAGCTGGCAAGCAGTGTGCCGTCCTGGTTGGGCCGCACCATGCGGACCCACTCCCTGTGGCCCGTGAAGGTCTTCACACAGTAGCTAATGTACAGAGAACAGTAAAGGAGTTGTGTTGTCAGAGTGGCTGTGATCCGTCAAACACAATGTCATCCTTAAAAAAACTAAGTGGTTTTGGTACGTACCCAGTTGCCACCTCCCACATTTTCATGGTTTTGTCCCTTGAGGCAGAAACGATGTGATCTCCATTGGGCATGATGGCTACAGACGAAACATTGTGGTCATGTCCTGGAAAACAAAAAGGACAAAAACAAGATCTCAGCTAGAGCCAGAAACCATCGTAAAGGTTTCTGAGCAACACGACCCAACGCAACGTTTGAAGCTAGTGTAAAACGTAAACCAATCATTTCAGATGACCACACACGAATATATCCTTCTTTAAACACAGGAATCACGATTCAGCAATCTTTTTTTTTTTTTTTTTCTCCAGTCTCCAGCCACCAACAGTGCCAAAAAACGATGGGTTTGGTCGTAATTAGCCAATTAAATGACAAGCGAGGCAGCCAATTTGCCGGGGCTTACTTTGTTCCACGGAGAATAAGAGATGCCTAATTACCTAGACACTGGGCCATATTTAAGCTGCTAAACAGATGAAGACAACAGTAAGACCTCTACAAGAGGCAAGCTTACCTGTGTGCCGCGCTGTGTCGTGTGTGTGTGGTGTGTGTGTGTGTGTGGTGTGTGTGTGTGTGTGTGTGTGTGTGTCGTCGTGGGGTATACTAGCACACCCTACCATCAGGCTATAATAATGGGTGGCTGCTACACAGTAAAGTGCTATCTGGTGCTGAAGAGGATAATTAAACTGCTGTCCAAATCGGCACTAATCTACTTCACCAGTTGGCCTTATGTTTTTTTTTTTTTAAGATGTAAAAAAAAGAGGAGTGCCTGAAGAAAAGAGGAAAGGTTGAGGAGATGAATTAAAAGTGAATGGAGATTGTAGTAAAAAGAAGTGTAGAGAGGAAATGAAGGGGAACAAAACTAGACAGCATGCTCAGTTTAATAGCTGGTTTCAGACGGCGATCTGTGCACTTCCATGTTTTTTTGCAGTGTGAACGCGGCTCGAGGCTTGAGGAAGTGTGCCAGGAGCGCACACCCCCGTTTACAACAAAAAAAGATTGGCAACCAGTGAAATCTGTTGCTCACTTGCACAAAATGCAGGATTTACAACTCCAGCATAAACTGAAGAAAGCCAGAGCGCCTCTTGTCTGTGCGCTAAGTAGGCTTATTTATTTCATGGACATTCATTCATGTCTCCTTCACAGTCAGACGTTAATGTGCACTTCTAGCAGGCTTACCAAAGGGATAACAAAATGAGAAATGCTGAGGCTTCATATTGCTGCTGCTGGTTGATGGGGGAGGCCTTCCCACAATACCAACATGGTGAAAGAAATGATTCAAACGCTGGTTCTTAAAATGAGAAGGGCCTGAGGGTGCATGTAGACTATACAGCCATCATTTACTTGGCAATTAGGGTGTAAAAGAGGGGGTGTGTGCCCCAGGACCACTTCAGTGAGGACATGAAGAATGGCATAATAGATTGTCAGATAAGTAAAAAATAATGTAGATAGCCTTATTAAAAATACTCGAACCAACTCGAAGGATTGTAATTGGCGCCTGTAGTGGTACACTGTGGTGGGGAGCGCTGTGGGTACCAGCCGTGACAAGACGGCTAAAACAGTCCATTTGTCAGAAGTGGTCGTGAAATCTCAGTGTCGGGTGCTGTGAACCGGAGCAGATTGAGGCTCGTCAGCAGCATCAGATGTGATAATGAACAGCATCTGCACCACCTGAGCCCTGCTCACAGTCACAAGCTACATTTATACAGCAATGACGTGGAAACCATAACAGAGTGCGTTCACATAGCAGCTGTGATGCAAAGATGCAAATTTACTGCCAATGCTCACATTTCAGGGTTTTTTTTTCCCTTTCTTGCCAAAAAAGTGTCGAGGCTGTTTTATATGTTCTTACCGTGCATGGTCCTGATACACTCAAAGCCTTGGAAATCCCACAGCTTGATAGTCATGTCTGCAGAGCAGGATGCTAGCAGTTTGCCGGTCTGGTCAAAAGAGATGTCCTGCACTGAATCTGTGTGGCCCTTCAGTGTGCGTTCAAAGTCTCCTGTCTCGTAGTCCCACACCTGGAAGAGAGAATATATCCGTGCTTTAGAGAAATCTACATAAAACAGAACAATCATAATATATTCCTCAGAAACACCCCGTTCCATATCAAACTGAATCCCTTTCCAAACACCAGCAAAGCCCCCAAATGTCACATCATCTGTGGCCCCGTGTCACCTCGTCTTTCAGCTGAACAGTCCAGCAGCCAAAACAAGCAGAGAGGAGAGAACCAAGCTGTTCAGAGAAGCCCTGTTACTGTCCCGACAATAAGATGTGCTGATGGACGAATGATTAAAAATGACTGCAATGACATTCCTCTTAAGAGCTCCTTACAGGCCTCAGTTTGCAGACACCACACACTCTTAGTATATTGAATTACAGAATCTGTGACGCATTACGGTTGCTAATGGCAAGGATGCACGTGCCAGGATGCCGATTAGGGTTACAGTTCGTGCTGATAAAAACAGTGAGACAGTTATTGTGTTGAGTATGGCGCTGCCAGTTGGAGCACAGACAGAATATAGAGTGAACAGTAGTAAGCCTGATTTTCTAGCCTGAGAAAGCTGTTAGGTCTCTGGGTTTCAGGCAGACGGTTTGTCACGGAGGGATAAACCCGCCTTGGTTCCCCTCTTGGGGTGGGGGATTTTGGGCAGACGGTGACAGGAGACCCCCCTCTTCTCCCCCCTGAATGAAGCTACAGACAGTGCAGATGGCCGCAAGGTACAAAGTGCAAGAGGGGGGGTGGTGGTTATCCTGGAGAAGATAAATGCAGCTCATGTGTCTGGAGGTACACCAGGTTTAACAGTCTGCAAAAGATAAAACAGTGTTCAGCAGCACCATCTAAAAAGGACCAATGACCCAGTAACTACCTGTAATCAATGCTGTATCACCAACTGCTCCTACTGGCACTCTTTCAGGGGATTGTTACAGTAGAAACCAAAAAACATGCCCCATTTCATGATGATTAATAGTTCACATTCTTTCAGGGAAAGTGACTTGAATCCGTCATCCAAAATGCCAACAATAATACAAAGAGCTTCTTTGTATGCGACACTCGTGAAGTAAGCAACGAGTGATCCGACACTCAAGTTCTTTGCCCTTGTTTAAATGAACCTAGCCTCTGGTTGACATGTCTGAGTGAGCACAGTGCTACTCCCAGGGCTAGCTGATTTACATACAGTGAAAGGTTAGAGCTAAACTCAAGGTAACAAGAGGAGGACCAGAGAACGGCAAAACTAAAGGAGTGAGGGACAACACAAACATTAACATTAACACACTACATGCTGACGACAAGAGAAATAGACACCTGTTTACACTGGGTAGAGAAACAACTGACCCATCAGAGCTTTGTGGGCAAGATTAAGAATGTCTACGTCATCTTCATCGTTTGAAACTACAAGATCACAATGCTGAAATTAATGAAATGAAACAAGATGGCAGTACAGTCTGATTATCAGGATAGGCAGCCTCACTGGCACGGAGGTGGAAAGCCGATGAGGCTCTCAGTCTGCCACAGAGTGAAGAGCACAAGGTCTACTCCTCAGTTAAAAATTTAACAGAGCTGCTCGGGAGCAGAAAAGTAGGACAGAGGGGGAGTCAGGCGACTAATAGACAAGGCAGCCAGTACAAGAGGTGCAAGAAGGCAAGACCTGCCTCCTCCTGAGGTATGGATGGCTCCGATGGTGGGCAGCTGAGGCTTTAAGTGGAAGATAAATGAAGCAGGGTGCTAGGAGGCGGGGTTGCAGTGGGAGGGAGGGGTGGGGGTTGAAAAAAGGGAGAAGATGCCAAAACAGAGGAAGGAATCCCTGCTGTGTGGGTGTACATGTGTCTCCTATTGTCTCATGAATAAAATATGCAGAACAAACAGCTCAACAGAGTATTGGCATTGTGCAGTCAGGAGAGGGAGAGCGGCTGCTGCAAAAATAGCCCAGAGACAGACTATGGAGTTTGAGGAATCCAGAGATAGATAGACAACAGAGAGAACAAGAGATGTGTAATCCAGGGCGTGTCTAGGAAGGAGAGTTAGAGCAGAGGTGGAGGAGGAGAGGGGAGCAGCATTCAACAGAGGGAGCAAAAGCTGTGTGTGGTAGAGCTGCCACCAAGCTGGCACTAAATTAAAGAAGAGCACTCTGTTGATTTTAAACCTGAATCGTATTACTGTAATGTGGGCGGGATGTGTGACAACAAAGGGACAGTGCAGTCAGTCAGTCTCTGAAGCTAGATGATGTGTTATCATCACTTTGAACTAAATCCTGTCTTCATGTCTTCATTTTTAGTTGGCCAATATCCAAAGACTCTCCGAGGTCTTTTTGTCTTTGACACCATACTGTACTGTAATGGAACATGTTCAGAACAAATACCTGTTTTAGTCCAAACCTCGTCAATGAAAACATACTCAAATAAAGCCCAAATAGAGCCACAGCTGTCCTATATATGTAAGACAGGTATGTGTAGGTAGGAAGGTTATCGAGCACTAATACGTTAAATAAACTAATCTAAAACTGTTATTATCCACTGAAGATACAGTGAACAACACCTTGTCTTGTGTGACTACTGTACATATTGTATTATTTATACTTAAATCAAAGTGTCATGTGACAATGTTTGGGCTGACAGAACTCTATTTATAAATCAGTCGCTACTATAGCAACCGGACATTCGCACAGCTGAGATTTGTTTGTTTCCCTGAAAGAAATGGCAACACATATTGAATTAATGTAGAAGAATAAGCATTGTTTCAGTTTGTTGAGTTTGTTGCAAGGGAGCAGGTGGTCTGTTCATCCTTTAAGTGGAGAAATGGAGATTCAAGGAAAAATATTTACTTGTCAGTTTATCGAGCAGATGAGGAGAAACTGAATGAAATGCATTTAAGTGTGTTTGCCTGCTAACTGTTCGGGTATTTAACCAGTCTATGAGCTGTTTCAGTGAGACTTGCCATCAACAGCTATAATCTTATTGGTAAAATGTTGCTTTATGAATAAACTCATTCTAAACTCTGCAACACAACGCGCTTGTGACCTCAGTTTGACATCAGTACTTTTGTCTCATCATTAATGTCTGACAACACATCAGCTGACACTACTTCACTGAATTACATATTAGTCTGAACTCTAATCTTATCCTATTCCCTAATCTCTTTATTACGAAGCTTCATTTCAGCAATTACATGTCCATTGTGAATAAGATCCTAAAAACTCCAGATCAAGGTCAGATAAGCGTGGCAGCTGCTCTCCATCCCTGGAAAACTGAAATGTTTCCAGGTCGTCATAAGACTTGTAAAAGATTATCATCCATGTTACCATTATCTACTGTGGCTTTGGAAACCGTCAAGTGTAGCGAGAGGTGTACTTACGTAAAGTATACACAATACGTGGTTATGTTGAATATGAAACAAGCCTCAACAGATCCGTTATCTGATCATGTGCAAAGGAGAAGCACAACTGCAGATTGTCATTAGGTACTTCAGCCACCTTCACACTGATTTGCGAACCTTCAGCCCAAAAACGATAACTAATCAGGGAAGTCCCTTGATGCAGCTGTCATCTGGATAACCTGCAGACTCTGAGCTCTCTACAGAACATGATTTAAAACCCTGGAAACATTCATACGTCATTTCAAATTAAACAAAGGTGAAGGATATCAGTTCCACTAGTGCTGTTATCACACCACCATTCCCGCCACCCGGCAGCACTGACCTTTATTGTCGCGTCCTCAGAAGCAGACACCATGACACTGAAGACTGGGTGGAAGATGACGCGGGTGACTGGACTGCGGTGGCCACTCAGCGCGTACCTTTCTGGTGGGCGTGGGATCCACTCTTTGGGGTCGCGCTTCTGAGTTACGGGCCCACCCAGAGTGATCTCCTCCTTCGCTTCATTCAGCTTGGATTCAAGTTCCATCACCTGCCCAGAGTGCACGGGTACGTTTAACAGTGTGGAGGCGGAAATATGTACATGTATGGATAATTACACCGGGGAGTGGGGGGATTTTTAAGGGTTTATTATTTGTTATTATTTATTTGCATTAGATTGAAGCTTTTTAATTCTTGGTAGACTTCCTTTTAGTGTTAAGTGGATTCAGCAGTAATGTCACGAACCATTCACAAGACTACAATCCCCACAAGCATTCTTCGAGGAGGAGAAAAAAACCCACAAACCTTCTTTTGTAATCTGATGACTGAAGTCCATTTTTTTTCCAAAAGGCCGGCGTACTTCTTATCCAATTCTTCATTCTGTAGAGAGAGGAGGGGCAGAAAAAAAGGATATCAGGAAAAACATGCAAAGAAAGCCAATCAAAGTCGTGGGCTCAGCATAATCGGTCCGGCCCGTGGGAGGGGGGCCAGCTGGGGTGGCATGCTGAGGTCTTTGGCTGTAGCAAGAAAGAACAGGGAATTATTTACACACCCCTCACAGGCCAACACTGACTGCCAGACACCAACAACCTACTGTACAACACACACATAAACACAGGCATACTACACAAAGAAAACACACACCATAGTCCTAATCCTTCTCACACAAGCTAATCTCCTGCAGACAAGAAAGGCTTAGGCAGCTTACAGCCACACACCCCGTACTGGAGGCAGCGGTGGAAGTTAACTTGTGGCAGTCCTGGCAGACAGAAGCCTGATTCCACCTGCAGGCTAACACCACAAGCTGCCCACTACCTTTTACATAACAGACTTCATGGCACACACAGTCCTCTGGCGTCTTACGGCCAAGAAAGAGACAAAACACGTTAATTGTTACAATGTTGAACAATGATTGAACCGTTAACCATTAACCTGCCATCTGTCTTTCCTTCTTGTTGTGCACAATGCCCTGTAACACTGCACACGTACAGTTATCCATACTAGACTTTATTGTATATACTATATACTATATATATATATATATTCATATTCTTTTAGATTCTACATTATTTTTCTTCATTATATTGTAATTGTATTATATCTGCTGTACATTTCCCCTGCTGATGTGCCAAACTTTAATTTCTCCTACGGGGATCAATAATGGAACATCTTATCTTTATGTCAAAGCGACATGGTAGCTTTCCTTTTTTCAAACCTCTCAGTTGAGCTCTGTTTGTGGTTGCTTTAAGCTACGGACGTTAACAGACAGGTGCATCCTAATGACCACTACCCAGAATGCAATGTGTCATGGGGCCTTGAATCTGGTCAAACTTTTTGCTGGAGAAAAATAACCAATTCTCTCAGCTCTAATTAAAACCAAAAACTCAATAAAAAATACTGAAAAATAAATAAATAACCCAAGAAAGTGCAGATTTATTGTGTTTATTTCATTATTCTATACAGCCAGTACACCAGTTTGGATGCCACTGTGTGTGTAACAATGCCTTTAGGCGGTTACTAGTTATCAAAGCATCAAAACCCCACACTGACAGACAGCCGTGAGCGTCAGTGAGGGAGAAAATTAGCGTCGCACTCCAATTTCACAGCTAGCTTCTCAGACTCAGCTGGAAACAAAAGCAGACATCCTAGAGGTGTGGAGAGCGCGCAGGCACCACCAACTCCTACATTTAACACTTCTCTATGACAAGAGGTGATTCCTCGGACTAACGTGAGGAGTATGAAAAGACAAAGATGCGAAGTGAGGCACTGCGGAGAAATGGAGTAGATGAAAACTTAGAGGGAGAGCAGGGTATCCAATATGGACGAGTCTGCCATCATCTAATCTGCCATCTGCTTGGAGACTCTGCCCATTACACGAACACACACAAAGACACACAAAGACACCAAAGACACACAAAGACACACAAAGACACACAAAGACACACAAAGACACACACACACACACACACACACACAGTGCCAGACTACACAGCAGCCTGCCAGTCTCTTGACAGTGGGTAGTATCCATGCCTGTGTGTGTTTGTGTATATTCAGCTATGGACATTTCCTTTTATGAGGCAAATAAAAGATGAAAGCGTGAGCCCTATGAATTATTCTACTAACCCTAACCCTACTTATTCTACTATGAAAACCTGCTAAAGCACACCACCTCACACACATTTACCTTAAAATGATACTCAAAGAGCCACAAAGCCAAAGTAAAAAAAAAAAAAAGCATTAAATTAACTCTGGATAAAGAAAATTTAAATTTAAAAAACTGTCTTGGTAATAAACTTCTAACAGTGTGGCCTCGACTGAATGCTAATACCCAACAGGGTGCACCTATCCCTGCGTGCCATTCATCTATTATTCAGCCTGCTTCCATAGGGCTGCCACAGAGAAAACGTCTGGAAGACGAACAAATGAAGACAGAGGAGGAGGGGGTGGGGCGTCACGTGAACACGAGGTGAAAGAAGAGGTGCGACAGAGTCAGAAGAAAAAAAAGAGTCTTAGATGAAACAGAAATAACATCACAAACAAAAAGGAGTCGGGGTTAACAGTTTGCCTACGAGCACTGGAGCTCCTCAAACTTTGGAAGCACAGGGATCAAATTTTAGGAAAATAATTGTATATTTGTTAAAATACTCAACGTTCCCACAATATTCTAATAAAATAGTAATAAATAATGCAAAAAGTAGACCTGGTGGAGTACCGTGGTCTGCACATCACAGATAGCTCTTGACTGCAAAGGATTAAGGGCAAATACTAAAATGACTTAATTTATTATTATTTAAAAATATCTGATGTGGATGTAAACACCTTAAATTAAAGTTAATGTTGCCACATTACTCATAGTCATCGTTTCACTTAAAATACAATGTGTGGCAAAAATATTACCTCTATTCTGCTACACAACATTTATTTGTTTGGTTTCTTTTATGATCGTTCGCTGCGGAAATAATGGCACAGGAATATTCTGAGTAAGGAACAAAAAAGAAGAGGAAAGGTACAAAAGAACAAATGACAAGAACGTGGACCAGGTGCAGTCTGAGGCGGAGCTGAAGAGAAACAGAATGAAGCTTCTTTTTGGGGTTTGGTGCCACTTTATTATTAGGTACACCTGCAAAATCTATTCCCAATCAATACCACGGCTATCCCATAAATTCCACCTTTATTAAGTTGGCATGTCTATTACAGGTCTATATAATTATATGTCTGTTCCTGAGGTCGTAGTTAAAGGTGGTGTTGGACTGGACAACATTATACTGAGAGGTGTTTCCATTTTATTGTCCTCCTATTTACACGAGGGGAGCAGAATATTAAGAAAACCTCTCAGTATGATGCAGTCGAATACAACCATCACTAACTACGACCTCAATGCTAAAATCTAACAGTTAATACCTCAAAGACACTGTACTTTATAGACTTTATGGCATAACCATTGTATTGGACTGCTTCAGAACATCCAGGTCCACCTAATACCACATTCAAACATAACAGTACACACATCACAGTGGTGTTGTAAAAGCGAGTGCATCTACAAGTGAGTAAAAGCTTTTGTCGAGATCAGTTAGCAGGAGGAAGTAGCACAGACCCCTAATCAGACAGACCACCATAATTGGGTGCAGGTGCTCCCGGTCACACTCATGAACACGTTAACTAAAGTGACAAATTAAGTGGAAATCAGGGCATATTGTTTGTTTAAATTGGTCTGATTGGCTGTGCAGATGTGTGTGTCCACCCTTAATCTACTCACATTATCTAATTCCGCCTCCTTCTTGAAAGTGGAATATGCCTCTTCATATCCATTGGAACGTAGATAATCGGCTATCGCTCGATTTCTGAAACAGACAAAGAGGACCCATAATTAGTTCTCCTGATTAGCAGACAAGACAGTTGTTAAAGTGCCACGAGACACGGTGAGAGTAATGGAGTTGTATTCAACACCGTAAAACAAAGACAGAAAATGAGCATGTTCAGGAAACGTGTCAGACAAAGATGTAAAATTTACATCTTTTCACACATTCAGACTGAGTTATCGCTCTTTAAGCATAATAAAAAATGCTTGGCATGCATAAATATAGTCTAAGCACTTAGCACTGTCTATAACAATATTATAAAACACAGTCTCTCTCTCTCTCTCACACACACACACACATCCCTCTCCACCCATTTGACACAAATCAAGAACACATCTGTCAGGCTCCTATAATGAGCTCTTGTTGCTGTGGGCAAATAATGGGAAGGGATGACTCCCCATGGTGTAGATGTGGGGGAAATGAGAGTCAGCGTACATCCTACCATCACCTAAATATACAGAGAGACCGACCGACGATAAATCACGGAGGAGCGGGTCTATCCCTGTGAGAGAATACAACACAAAGATTGGTGGGGGTGGAAGCAGAGGTGTGTTTACTGCCCTACTATTTCAAATATGTGAAGAAGATGCTCAGATAGGACGACAATAGACTTCACAGGCAGAGCCCAAAGTGGGGAGAAAGGAGGCCATCTTTACTCTTCCTGTTATTGTCTCCCGTGCTGCCATGAGGGGAAACACACACACTTCACAACACACCAGCGAACCACACGACCACACACACACACAGGTCTGGTTTACGACTGCAGCCTCAGCAGCAGTTCAATTTACCGAGAGTTATTAATGAGGCTCGAGTCCGTTAGTGTCAGTGGTTCAGGCTTTTATTCTCCATCTCATTAGATTCTCATGAGGGTGCAGAAAAGTACATTATTTATTAGACTTCCTTTTTTTAGCCAAAATGTTCCACTAAGTGTATATACACATGCTATCTTGTAATTCTATTCTAAGTAGTGTAAGGCATTTGACACAGGGAGTACTGCTCGGTCTGTGAGAACAGCTGTATGTTTTCTTTGGTTCTGGAGTTTGACCCACAATCATGAGTTAGGGTCTCTGGGCCTCTGCTGCGGTCTCCTGAGAGTCTCCCAGCTTTTGCAATATCCAACGATAAATCGCTGTAATATCCCTTCATGAACAGAAACGCTTAACCCTGCAGTTTCAATGAGCAGACAACTCATTTGAACACTGGTTACTTCTTCAGGGACAGTTCTGGATGGCTGCTTTAGTCACACACTACACCTGGAGAAAAAAAACAGACTGGAGAAAGACAAGAACACAAACAAAAGACACTGAATTCATGAATGTCTGATAAAAAAGCTATTTTCTTCTAATGGTAATACAGTATTCCTTGACTCCAGCCCTCCTGTGCTCGCACACAGCAAACCCCACCATTACTGCCAGGAGAAGCCACACAAGCTGTCAGGCAGGCAAAGCTGTGAGGTGCCAATATGAAGGGGGTGGAGGGCGCAATCTGTCAGCCCAGCCTGTGCCCCCCGCGCCCTCTCGGTCAGCGCTGAGCACTGAAACCCTCGTCTCCCTCTGCCCACCTGAATCCCCATGACAACAGGAGCAGGGCTTATTACAGCTCAAGGTGAGCAGGAGGTTATCTGCTCCTCTGACAGCCGGGCTGCCGCAAGTCTGGAGAACTAGAGGGGAGGGCGAGGTGTGTACGGAGAAAGTGTGTGAGCAGGTGAGGTGAGCTGAGGCACGGAGGCAGCTCTGATGTGGTGTGGGTGTGTCAGTGAGCACCAACTCCGTCACATCAGCCATTCAGTCCAATTCAGAGGATGGGAGAATCGCCACACCTGAACTGAACCTACTAAAAGACTGTAAAGGCATTGAACGGCCCTTCAAAGATCTTTGTATGCAGAAGATTAAAAAGGTGTCGTATGCATTCGTCTGGCTGACAACAGCCTGTAACCACGAAGGCAAGAATGAAACCGATAAAACAAAAAGAGAAACGGAGAAAACCCTCAGCACAAAGACACCTTTGAACAGAACCAATACCACACATGGACACAGTAATGTTGTAAAGGTTTATGCCTCACTCTCTATGTTGCATGGTGTTGTATTCAGACCACATGGTAGAGCAGCCTGTTTATATCATCAATATGTTTCCAGTGTTTTTGAATAGTGCCAAAACAACAGAGCACTCTATCATTTGCACAGTGAACAAAATTAGGGCCAATTATTTCAATATATACGATATCAACACCTTCGCTGTTTCCGTCTTTGAACGCACACTGTTTCAGACACAAATGTCCTCAGTAGGTTAATCTAAGCAGCACGTGGACGTTTTCCAATCAGTGCTGACGTTGAACACAGTACCAAACACTCACACTTCGCCTCACATGTGGCCAAAAAACAACAACAATCCACACACCAACATGCAGTTGTGAATATGTCCCAGAAGACTGAGAGGAAAGGGGAAGAAATCGGGGCAAAAGATGTGTACTAATGTCGACAGAAGGAGAGCACACCGGCTGGTTTCCATGGTTACCAGCAGCCCACAGCTAGATGACGTGACGGAGAGATAGTGAGAAAGAGGGCGGGGGGAGTATATGGACAGAGAGGACGGATAGAGGGGGGGAGAAGAACAATAGAAAGACAGAAAGCCCATATTGTAGCTGTAAACTGGGTCTCTATGGTATATTACAGAGATCAGAAGGTTTCTCTCTGAGCACAACGGGACAGTCAACAACTCTTCAATAACTAACACAGCAATGTCTTTTTAAAAGTGATCTTGTGTCATTCAGTAAAGATCAGGGTTGCATCAATGTGGTCGGTCCGTGCAGAGCTGCTCTCACGTACTGTAAAGCCTTCCTGGAGTCAGAGGGAGAGAGCAGTGTGACACAGAGGGAGAGACGGGGGAGAGACGGGGGAGAGATGAATGACCTCATCCTTATGAGAAGTGAGTCAGCCGTCCAGCATGTCTGCCGCTGACATCACTTCCTGCTCCACGATCACTCACTTTCACATCTTTTTAGAGATGAGCAACACTTCCTAACAGAGCTTTCACTGCAGTCTGTAAATGATACAAACAAGAGCAGCTTCAGTAACTCACACAGAAAACATCAAGTGCATCATGTTCAAAAACAGGCAGACAAGTTGTACCTGGTGGTGGCTGGGCCGTTCTGTTTCACTGCTCATTGGATTGTGGTCCAACATTAACCCGCAGTGTGAGCGACACCACAATAATACTGCAAGCTCAATCAACTGTGACATGAGGGCGGCCACTCACAACAGTTTACAATCTTTTATTAGTCAATCATAAAGTCTAAAACATGTCACAAGGTACCAAAACCAAAAGAATCCCAAATGTCCATAAGAAGTTCATAATACCTACAGAAATATCTTCTCACTGCTTGAAGACATTTCAGGACAATAGCTGAATTGTCTTCGCCTACGCCTGCCTCGCACAACGCTGACACACGGAAACAGCCAATTAATTACAATTTTTTGGATTCACAAAATACACATGAGTCATTCAGTAAAGATGTTACCAGCAGTCTCTTGTCAAAGCACCAGTAATGACCCTTTTCATCACAGACACACTGGACTCCCACCCACTCTGTGCCATACACCTGTCTACGGACACACACCTCACACAGGAGTATTTCTACGACTTGTTCAATCTTTCAAAACTGCTGATGAGTGTTTCAGTGGGAGAAGCTGAAGTCTACACCCCGACAGCTCCCTCGGCACATATAAACCTCACCTTCCTGTGGATTATTTCACATTCATGTAACAGTCACGGTCACCGTTCTCCACGAGCACATGCTCAAACACTGTTTGAAAACCGCTGCACAACCACCTCGTGATGAGGCTGAAGATTTTCTGGTGGCCGTGACGGTGTTTCATAAAGCTAGAGGTGGACCAGTGGTTGTTCGCTAACAACATCAGAGGACGACAGTAGAGCCTGTGGTTACATCACAGCGCAACTTCAACTTAATACTGTGCTAACTGACTTCCCTTCAGGACTACAACAGAGCTAGTTCTACCGAGCATGTACTTTCTGTTTGGAGTTGATGGAAAGTCTAAAAACCAGGAAGTTGTCAGAGCTTCTCCACCGAGCATCAACAGTGGGAGAAACACCAGCTACGTCCAGCTTCATCTCACATGTTAAAGTCTATATTAACGTTCACAACCACCCATAGAGAGCTAAATAAAGTGGAGCTTATTCCTCCGCCTTAAGAGTTGAGTCCTGAACAGCTGACAACTTCAAGAACTTGTTACCAGACACAATCCACTGAAGTCATATGACAGGACTGCATAACTGTGCAGTTCCAGTTGGACCTCCGTGAAACCTGGAACCAATCCACTATTTCTCTTGCTTGACTGATGAGGAGGAGCCCCAGGCGCCGAACGTCCCGAATCACTGCGTCTCTTCCTCACAGATAGAAGACTCTTCACCCTCGGATGTTTGTGTTCTCCTGCTGTGATTGGACATTAACAGACTTTGTATGAGGGAGCTCGGCCCGGGCCATTTAACGTACGACCCAACTGTCTGGGACACTCCTGTGCTCACATATCACTCCCTAGATTAACCAGACAATTCATCCACCACAGTATTTCAAAGGGAAATAAAATGAAAGAGAAAATGTGGTTCATCTTCAAAAGTGTCTGCCAACCTCCAATCATCTCAAAGCCTCTTATCACAATGCTGTTAACTTCAGTGTGAAACAGGTAGGTTGAGTCTTCTTTCATATAAGTTAACTGCAGAAGGGATCGACCATCGAGGCAGCAGAAAGCTTCAAAAGGGGAAACTCCCTGTCAACAGGAGGAAAGGTCCAATCCAGGACTGTGGCAACAACTATTCTTCACTATGGAGAGCACGTGTGCAGCATGCTCAGATCAGAAGTACACAAATAAGTAACTGTTCTTCCGTCTCACGTCACATGGTGATTGAGCCAAAGCTTTAGAGTCAAGTGTACTTTCTTAAATCCCTTGATGACTATAATTCAGTATGATTCAAGCTTGGATAATCAAAGGATAACAAAGAAAGATATGAAACCAGGCTTGCCATCAAATACAGATGCAGATTTTTTACTAAACCGTATTTACTGAAATAGCAAATCGTTTAATATTTGTGGTTGTTTTGGTGGTTGTGGTTGAAGGACTACTTTTTCCTCAGGGTGGATTTGCAAGACTTCCAATGTGATCATGAAACACACAACAACATGATCAGGGGGTTAAAAAGAATTAGTGCTGCAACGACTGATTATTTTCACTTGATATAATAACCTACAAATTATTTTCTCAATGAATCGATTCTTTTTGTTGATAAAACATCAAACTGTGTTGTGTTTTCCACAAAGGTTCTGAGTTCAGATAGCTCGTTTTATTTGGTCAACAGTCCAAAACCTAAATAAATGCAGTTTACTATCACAAAGTATCATATCCTGGTGTGAACCAATGTTTGGCTGTTTTACTAGAAGAATTATGAAGAACAATTCATCATAAATTATTTTTAAATAGTTGTTGTTTCTCTCTGCTGATGAAGAGTCCACTGATAGCTGCGGCTCTATAATAAACACACAGAAACGATCTCGTTGATAGGAGAAGTGGTGATGATGGGTACGCTGACTCGGACCAGACAACTATTGGAAACTCAGTGTGCAGCAGGTCCAGATTTCTCCATCCAACAGCCCGGTCCTCTTCCTAAAACAAAGTCCTTTTTCCATGGGGGACGATGAATGATTGATATGGGATGATGGGTCCAGACCACAGAGACCGTTACCATGCCAATCCATCTGTGTGTCAGTCCCGAGGCAAAATCAGAGCCGTGCTGCTGACAGACCTCCTGCAGATGCATCCGGACATGTTCAGTACACTGCGCACCAAGAGAGGCTCGGGAACAGAACATGAAAGACGCCTGTGTGTGCCAGCAACAAATGTCTGTGAGGAGACACCTGTCACACCCAAACACTGAAACGCCATCACAGATTCATAACCGCCATCTGAAATACTGCATCTCTGGACACAACCAGAGAATCATCGATGCTCTCAGCGCAATTCAGGAAAAAAACAAACCAATGAGCTTTGATATTTTATCCACATATCAGGTCACAAACATTTAAATCTGACAATACAATCATAGTTTCAAAAAGAGAAGAAAAAGGGGAAAAAAGACTCAAATCAATATCAACGTCTGCTTTTGCTGCACAGCTGTATATCAATAATGACAACATCCATTTCTTTGTGGTCGAGTGTAAACAGAAATCCTGATTAACCTTCGTCCTGCGTGTGCATGTAGGAAACTGATTCACTTTCGTGTGGACAGTATGAGCATCGGGAGCACCTGCTTGGTGTTTTATGTACCCAGCAGTTCTTCTTCCATTTTTTCCCCCTAACCCAATTAGGGTTGCGTGGGAGTGCTGACAGTGGCCATGCTATTGGGACACTACGTACACAACTACAGAGCCACACACTTGCACAGGTGGATGAATGTGTGAATATCATAGGACGCCCAGCCAAATGAAAACGATACACACAATATGGTGGAGGTGAATTAAATAGATGTGCTTTGCCACAGTGCCTTATACACTGCAGTCTTTTATCGGACCTCGTTTGAGTAACCTTCATGTCTTCTTAATGACACAAGTCTTGGCATTTGATCGGTTATGTCACCACAATTACAGCCGCGGGGCAATTGAAAGAGAAGGGGGAAAAAAGATCACATGAAGCATCTTGTAGCCTGAGACATGGAGAAGGCTGAAGGGATTTTCTTTGTGAAGCAAAGCGAGTTCAAAAGCAAAGGCCCATCTGCACACGGGTGCCTCCAGGTCTTTCAGGGAGCAGATAGTTTGTGTTCTGGATCTATTTTTACTACACGCCAGAGGGGACGAGTCCCCTGACCCTGGACAGAAACACAAATGTGCTTTTCATTGGCCATGCTCATAAAAATAGAGTTGTTGTGAAGATGCTGCGCAATCACAGCATCTGACTGCAGTGCTGACAAAATAGCACCAGTTTAATACAAAGATTATTTCTCTTTTTACAATATGTTGTTCTACGCTAGGGTAATAAAACATGTTGCTATCTTTCTGGCCGCTGTCAAAGAGCAGGTCAATATCTACTGGAAGGACAAAAAGAACAAACGTTCTCTTGTTTTCTTGTTTACTATTTAAATGTTTTATGTCAAAAACATGCACACAGAGTAAAGTTGGTGCAGATTTCACCGTACTTGTTTGATTGCTTCTGACAGTTCAGCTTAAAAACGTGGAAGAGCAGAAGTGGAGGCCTGAGTGCAATGGGAGCAACATCTATTTGTCTGCTGTGACAAAGAAAGGAGGGGGCCCAATAGCAGAGAGTCAGCCGGTCACTGTTCCCATTACCCCCTCTGCTATAGGGCCGGATTGAAAATCAGCCACTGGGTTTCTAAGTAGGCTTCCCAAAACTGAGGCTGCCAGTTAGGAAATAAGATCGTAGGAGCCTTTAGAGCCGACAAACTCAGTGAGAGCACCAACTGAGCCAAGTGACGTCTCCAACGGGAAGAATGTAACAGATGCTTGAATGTGACTCGAGTGGCGTGATGGTCCCACACCAGTTTCCTGTAAGCTACGGGGGCTTTGCAACGACTTGTGCAACGGAGGAGAAAAGAGGGATGAAGGGGGGGGAGCGGGGGTCCCTGGCAACTTCCTCTGAATAGCAAATAGTTACAAAGATTAGCATTCCAATAGATCTCTCCATACCAACAGACTCCTCCCACAGCGCTGAGAACGTGAAGAGCCATGTGAATGCTGGTGTGTTCCTCAGGGGCAAACATCTATCATGTGTTTTTGAAATCAATCAAATCGTTTCAACACACTGGTTAAGTGGAAGAGGGGACTTAAAGAAATAAAGCTCCTTCTCATGACCTTGTATCTCACATTGAGCTGCCTTAACTTTTTATCCTCCGCCTCAGGGGTTAATTACGGAGCCCACAGACTCAGCAGGACCAAATTACGCCCTCCTCCTCCTCCTCCTCCCCATTATCGCAGCCTCGCTCACTTTCCCCACTTGCTCAACACACTACACAGCACATGTGCAGATATTTCTTTTGTCTGTATGCCACTTCTGTGCATATGCCAGACAATTTGTAGGCAGACTTCAGACGTCTCGGGCACACGGTCTCCCTGAGGAATCCTCTGAGTAGTGACAGTGTGCACAGAGCAACACATGATGCTCTGAATCCCCGTTTCATCTATTGCCCTTACTTTGGGGTCAAAGTTGGTGCTCTCAGCTTCTCCTAAGGACACAAAGGGCACATGTATGAATAGTGCTGGTGGAGGATCAATACATTTGTTCTCCGGCAGCTCGGGGGAGCTCGGGAACCTTCAACCAGTCATTGATTCTTCCTCAGGGGTACCAAGGAGAAAGAAATAACAAAAAAAGTCCTCGTCTAAACTGATTCTAGTAATCAATACACATCCTAGGCAGGAAGCAGACGCTGTACTGTCATTAAAAAGAAAGGTGGTGAAATATCAGCGGGTTGGGAGCAGAGTCTCAGAGTTACAACCAGAGCTCACTGGAAGAGGCCACATTAAGCTATTTATAGAGCTCTTTGATACTGTAATTGGCACTCATGTCACTGGGCAGCTTAAAAAAAAACCATCTGATTCAAATCAGCACAATAGCAGCTTAGCTTAGCCCTCGCATCAGATTAGATGAGAGTCAGAACGACGCGGGCTGCCACAACGCATCAACAAAAAGGTCAGCAAGCAGAAGTTCATGTCTGATCGGGACGTTTGTCGTTCCCCCTCTCTTCGAAACATGCTATTCTTTGTATTATTCTTCTTCACTGGGTTGTTTTTTTTAAATGGCTGATGAAGAGTAAACGTAAATGCAGCTTGAATTGTTGGAATTGGGTAGAAATTAAATTGCTGATACCAACATTAAAAAATAACTTTCTGGTTCGCCAAGAGTTTTAGGATGAACTGATAAGCAAAAGATTCAAATAAAACGAAGAGCTTCAACGATTAGTCCATTAAAATATTAGTCAATCAACATAAAATAAATGGGGACTTTTTCATAACTGATTTATTTTTCTAGATAAAAATGCCAAACCAGTTCCAGATTTACTGCTTTTCTTACACGATAGTAAATTAAATAACCTTACATTTTGAGGAAACTGAGGCATGTTTGACTATTTTCTGACATTTAACAGATCAAATGATTATTTAATTAAGCAACAAAATAATCAGATTACTTGATAACAAATGTTATTCTCAGCTGCAGCACTGAAATGAATACTGCTCTTCAATCCTTGTTGTACTGGGCAGCTGTGGTGGTGTGTCTGTGTGTGTCTGGTGTGTTGGTGTTGTGTGGTGTCTGTGTGTGTTGTGTTGGTGCTGTGTGTGTCTGTGGTGTGTGTGTGTGTGTGTGTGTCTGTGTTGTGTGTTTGTTGTCTGTGTGTGTCTGTGTGTGTGTGTTGTGTGGTCTGGTGTCGTGTCGTGTTGTCTGTGTGTGTTGTGGTGTCTGTGTGTGTCTGTGTGTGTGTGTCTGTGGTGTGTCTGTGTGTGGTGGTGTCTGTGTTCTGTGTGTGTCTGTTGTCTGGTGTGTGTGCTGTGTGTGTGTGTCTGTGTGTTTCAGCCACAGTGTATAAACCCATAACATCTTTATATCTCAGCAGCCACGTGGGCACAAAAAGGCGCAGAGGCGACTTACAGTTCATCTCGTTGCCGTTGTGACAGCACCATGGTGACGGGGCGGTGTGGGCGGGGCCGGGAGGGATCGGTCAGTAGGAGGTGAATCTTGTGCAGCTGCTTCGCTCTCCTCAGTCAGGAGATGAGCTGTGCTGATCCAAGCAACACGGGCGAGGACGAGCTGTGTACTCCAGTGGCGGGCAGTCGGTTTTGTCCAGACAGACAGACTCAGACGGAGTGAAGGGGAACGCAGGAATCTGCCCCCCCAGCTGCCTGACTCCAGGGACTAGAGAAGTGGAGAGCCTGCAGACCGGTCACCACCCAAGTCTACACTGCATCTGGAGAAGAGAGAGGGAGAGACAACATTAGGTATGCATGACTGACAACATGAAGAGTGGGTGAAAATGTTTATAGGCCAGAGGAAAACTGCATCAACGTCTGCACCAGTGTCACTGAAGGACCGTCAACACACACAGTTAGTTATTAATAAAGGTTCGATTCCCACAGCAGAGCTTTGACACCATAAACTAATTCATCAGACAAAAACCACCTCCGTTCCATAAACCACTCCTTCACTTATCTACCGTCACAATGCGTCTGTCATGTCGCCAGTCTGGTCTGAGAGCTCGGGTCTGCTCTTGCAGCAAATTCCTTTCTCCGTGAACACACAAGAGCTGACCCACATTCTCCGAGCAACGTACTCCCAGGTTGCCGGCAGAAAAGAAAAACAGGCCGCAGCAGAGCGGGCTCAAGTAACAGCAGTGCTCTTGTCAAATTCACCAACCCTGTCGTCTCATTACGACCGCTCCTCGAGAGCCGGTGACACCGACGGTCGCAGTGATCTCAGCGGGCCAACATCATCAGGTATTAGTGTGAAATTAATGCCCGTGTGATGAAGTATGAGTATTTTTACTCTGCACTGAAACGTTGAAAAGCACTTCACCAAAGGAGGCACCCACTAGAATACTAACTGAGCCACAATAAGCCTCTTAGTCCACTGGGACCAGCCTCACTAAATCTCTGCCAGACCATTAAACAAAAGGCACAACACAAAGCCAATCCACCTCCTTCTGGAGACCTGCAACACACGGACACACGTACGGCGAGGCACCGCTGTCCAGAACCATTTAGAGGAGACAGTATGTGCCAGGCGTGAGGTGCGCTGCGTGGCAGAGGAGCCGTGGAGGAAGCGGTGATGTGTCTGGAGCAGGCACGAGGACTGGAAACTTCCCAGGAAAATTCACACATTCCTGGTTTCAGCGGATGATGAATTAGACACACAGAAAAGCAGCTAACCTCTGACCCCTGATGTCACCACCTGACAGGAGTCCAAGCGTCTGGTCCCGGGTCACAGCAGGACAACAACACAATAAGAAGATGGCACTGAAGCTAAAAGTGGCTCTTATTAAAGTCCACATACCAAACCTCCACTGAGCCGTCCACATTCACACATTAACCTGTACCACCGCTCAGTGTGAGACGAGGTCAGCCAGTACTGATTGACACTTCACTACGTGCGGCTGTCATCGCGTGTGGATTCATTAATATGTTGGACACCACGCTCTGCAAGTCTCATTCGTGGCTTCAGTATTGAGCTAAATGTTTGCACAATCACGTAATCAGGCTGATTGGCTCAGCGGAGTGGGGAGGAGGAGTGGGCTACAGCCATGGTGCGTCTATAAATCTGCCCACTGATCGTTAATAACGGCTGTGCGTCTTCCTCCCATTGATTCTCTACTCTTTGTGTAGCAGCAGGAACTGCACAGTAAAAACCCTTACAGTAACGGCGCTGACTGTTTTGAGAGATGGTTAATTTCCTGATGAGTTCTAACAGGTTATCTGTTGATGAATAATGGAAACGTGCTGCTTTAAGAATACAAATCTAAAACTGTGATGAAGCACACCCACTGTATCATCTTTATATCTGGTCCAGCATAGCGCTGCTACTGAACTTCAACACTTTTATGGCACTGACTGACTGAACTGAGTCGATACTACTAGAGTATAAAAAATGCTTTTTAAATGCATGGTGTCTACAGATAGACCGGCCTTTGGATTAAACTCGACGTATTGCTGCCATACTGTTTATTTATATTTAGGTTCCTTTATTTAGAGTTTTTTCTATCGTCCAATACTGTACAGATAAATAACTTTAGTTCAGTTATCCACTTCCTCCTTTTGAGTAATTATACTACAATGTAGAACGTATTCTGGTACCGATATTAAAAACGGTACTCCGCCCGAGTGAAGCATATCTAAAAGAGTCTACCAGTAAACATAATATTTCAGTAAAAAACACTTAAACCAAGTAACAAAAACAGGAAACCATATTAGAAAACAGATAATGTGTCAGCAAGTCTTTCAAAGAGGATGTGACAGAAAACCTCTTTGTTAGCAGTTTGACTGTAAACTGAGTTTGTAAACAAATAAGACATCCGGTAAAAATGTGACATATTCAACAGCTTAGCATTAATCTGTGACAGACGAGCTACGTGTACAACATTTCTGATAACACTTCCACGTCTGAACAGAGCAACACGCCCCTGTGGAACGCAGCACAAGACGAGGAAAACAAAAACACCAGAGTCTAAAGTGGAGTCGAGCTGCTGCTGCTGCTCGTCACTAAACATACCGTCACAGCAACGCTCACCGCGCTGACACTTATCACCTCACTGTCGCCTCTCATTCACAGTTTTCTGCCAGCGCCGTTACGTCATCGTCCTCTCTCAGACTGCAGGAATCTGGAGCAACTTCATTTTCTGTTGCTGACTTCACCTTCAAATAACTTGTGTCCTGGGAACGTCACGTTATCCTCCCCGACTGCCCTTTACAAACAGGAAGGAGCAGCACACAACGCTAAAAGAAGTAATAGCAATGGATGATTCCACTTCAGGACTAAAGTGCATTTATCTATTTAAGTAGATACGAGGAGATGAGTTAGGGTCATTTCTTTAGGTCTTCTTTGTTGCCTTTAATTGATACTGACGGCTCTACCAGGTGAGCTGTCAGTATTTATTGTACTGAAATGTTCAGTTTAAGATTTAGTAACTTAACTCTGGTTTCAACAGTGACACAAACACTACTACAATTTTCATTAGGATCCTTCTGTGGCATAATATATATACACGTATCAGGAGACCGCTACAAACAAGCACAGTAATCTACAGTACAGTGATTCAGTAAATCATCTCCACTTTCTGTTTTGGTAAAGCCCTCAGACAGAAATCATCCAAAGAGCTTTGTTACTGCCCGATGATGAAACTGAACATCTGGCTCAGCTTTCAATCTGCAGCCGTTACGACCCACAAGGTGTCTCCGTGAGTTGTGTGGGTTGGTAACGATCAGCCAACGTTATTACATTACACAGCTAGTGACATCTTCCTTCTGTGGGTCTGTTAACACAACAGCAGCAGACGTAGGAATACGTCCTGTAGGAACCCAAAACTCAGCTTCACCAGCCCTCCACTCTTCATCCGTTCATCATTTATAGTCACCAGATGGAAACACTACTCGGCTCTAATACTACACGTTGCCAATCAAACTGCCAGGACATTATCCGAACAGTTGTGTTACCTGATGGAAGAGGCCTCACACACACACACACACACACACACACACACACAGGAACAACTCGATCAGGACTAGTCGGCCTCCTTCATTCATACACGTTTCAATCAGTTGTACAGTAAAAGCAAAGTTCCACTTGGCAGCCATAAGATGCTGGTTGAGCTCTGACTTCTTTATGCCAACAGGTTACTGGTTGAAATTATGAAAGGTCTAAATGTAGACTGGAGTGTCAGTATGAAACGTGTTCAGATAAAACCTCTGCATTCTCCAAGTTGCTAAAATTATATTCAACCGCCTCTGGCGCTTGTTCACAATGACCAAGATTCTCCGACATTTCGTCACAACTTACAAAAAGCAGTCGGCCATTCGTAGGGTGACAGGCAGTTGCTGCTGGCAGCGGGTCAGTACTGATCAGTCAGCAGGCTGGTGGGTCGACCTCTGTGCTACAGTCAGCTCAGTGGAGGAGAATAATGTCACAATCACACTCATCACTGTCTGTTGACACAAAATAAACAGGAGGCCCCCTTCAGGCAACACTTCTGCCCTTACCTTTACTACAAGTGACACAAGTGAGGAATGTCCTTCAAGATCTGTAACTAGCTCCACTCTCCTGTTGTTGGACGGGCAACAAGTGCCAGCAAAGCAGCACTTGTAATGGCCGAAGCTCGTACAATTGGTGTTGCTGTGTTTCCACTGCTGACGGTACTGAACAGAGCCTGGCTGTCGGGATGCACTTATTCAAATCAACGGTTGATAAAACTCAGCACTGACTAAGAACGCTTTCAAGTAAAACCAGCTGACCGTATTCACTGGCTCCTGCAGTGCAGTCAGAGAAATGAACCATGTCTGTGTTTTACATCGACCAGAGCTGCTTATCTCGTATGAGCTCACTTTCTTTTAGTAGTCAAACACAGAAAATGGGTCGAGCAACACATCATTTGAGCCAGTTTCATGTATTGAGCATTGTATTTTCAACTTTAAACCATTGTAACATCATGGTCTGAACACTCAAACGGTGCTACAGAACTTCCTTACATTATACTCAAATTGTAAAGCATTTTCTGAATGCTGAAGTCCAAAGACAACACCAGGGTGTTCCTCTTCTTCCTCATCTATGATTTTAGGCCTGCTACAGTGCTGCTTCGGTACAATCAATGAGGTTGTTAATGTTTAAGGGATAACATTAGTGGTGTTTATGTAAGCGCAGTACTGCTGGATTCACAAAGGCCCCAAACATCTGCTGAGATTAAAGCTGTCAAAATAACTACGAGCTCATATTCCTCCTCAAAATGGTTGCATTAAAGTCCATTCAAGTCACAGACGACAACACATTAACACTCTTACCTGAGAGCAGAGCACAGAGCCGCTTGTTATTTTTCAACACTGCTGTCAAAAACAAACAATTTCAACCAATATCCCGTCAGTCCACCTGACCGGCTGCACCGCGGTCATCACAGGCGTGGCTGTGGGACGTGAATCAGCCGAGGGTCCAGGCTTTAACCGAGTCTTTATATCCGACACCACGACAAAGGTTGCTCGAAATTACGGCTGTCGGATTCAGTGCACAACCCCGGTGAGCCCCGCGATGGTTCACAGTCGTCCCGGTGTGAGCCCTCGGTCCACAGATTCCCCTCACACTCAACCACACATCCACTGGTTAAAAGAAAACAACAAAACAGGGGGAAAAACAAGGCAGACACTTGGGAGTGCTGAGAAGACGCAACACATACAAACTCAGTCGCCTCCGATGTGCTCCACCCTGATTTTCTAACACCGTGCCAGCAACCCGCATGAAGCCCAGAGCCTCAGCTGAGCAGAGGATGCACACCAGGTGGACTGACGCTCAGCTGCAATGGTATTATAATAAATAAATATATATATTATAACAGCACAGAGCGGAGGACGAACACCCCTCCCTTTACGCCGCTTTTTAAAAAAAAAAAAAATGCTAACACTGGCTACAGCAGTGACGCCAGACAAAATAGCCACACGACGATGGAAATAAAATGTTAAATGTTTCGTTAGACGCCACCGGCAGCGTCGTGTGACCTACGTTTGATTTAGTTGTCTGTATTTTTTACATTAGTCTGCTCTGACCCTGCTTCACACGGTGCTAATTACTGCTTATTACTGGTGCAACTCGAACTGCCATAACCTCGCACACACTGACATGTTTTCTGGACTATGGCGGCTGACGGGGTTTGGTCGACCTGACGACGGTGCCAGCCTCCCCTCCTCCTCCTCCCCTCCTCTTCTTCCTCCCCTCCTCCCCTCCTCTCCTCCTCTTCTTCCTCCTCCTCTTCGTTATCTATGCCCCCGTTATCGTCGGCTAACGTTAGCTGAAGTTACCGTTAGCCGTTAGCTCCAGTCACAAAGTTACAGTTGGCTCGTCACGTTCACTCTCGATTTAAAACGCACCAACGGGCCCGTAACGTGCGTTCGACCTCGACCCGCCGCGAATAACTGACGACGGTTATCTGGCGGTTGGCCCGCTTTAATCAAAGCGCACGGTTGAGTGTTTGTCTCGGGATAAACTCCGCTGTCAGGATACCTGCTGCTTCCAGTCCGAGCGGCCTATCCGCCATTTTGAGACATAAAAAGGAGGTGCACAGAATTACAGCCACATCGTCATTTTCCCCAACCCAACGCCAGACTCCTTCGACTCCGACCGGCTCCCTCCGCGGAAACCGAGCAGCAGTTGAACTCACCCTATTGTTTTTCTGCCCGTGAATATCCTCGGCCGTCTCCAACGGTAACACGACCCGACAGGGCGTGAGATTTCCGCTCCGCACTCTGATCTTGTGATGTGGAGGTAAACTGTGCCCGTCTTGTCTCTCCGCCGCTGCCTGCTTGTTTTTTTTCGAAGCCTACCGCATTCGCCTTCAGCCGGGGGGCGCGCACACGACACTCGCGTTCACGGTCTGACGAGAGCGCGCACGCCCTTGACAGCAGAAGAAGAAAAAAAAAAAACTGGTTGTTTTATACGTTTTTTTTTTTTTTTTACTATTAACTCTTACATTGCTTCTCATTATCCGTACCTTTTTAAACTGCAATATACGACTCGTTTAAATGATGTATGAGACTTTACATTATTAGATTTTTTAATGGATTATTAATTTTGTACATAGATAAAACATAAAAAGCTTGGATTTTATGGAGAAAATGGGCCTTACACTGCTAAATAAAAGTAAAAAGTAATGCAGGACTAGTTCCTACGTTTATCTGACAGCTATAGCTACTTTTCAAATTGATACTTTGTATATTAAACATGTGATCAGCTTATAAAATATGACAATAGATTAAACTACCAAACGTTTATAGTTAAGAGTAGAAAAAAACTCCATCTCATGCAGCAAAATTAATGAAAGGCTGCTTATACAGTAAGGCATCAATAAAAATATAATATATAACACACTGACAAGGCCTTCTGTTGCTAATACTTTGTAAGTGGTTTCACTACTGTTACTTTAGTAAAATATCTCAGTACTTCTTCAACCACTGGCTACTTGTATGAGTTATCAAAACGCCAAACAAAAGTTTTACTAGTTTAATTTTATTCATTTTAATATAAAAAAAAAAAAAGCATACTCAGACCAAAATATAATTGGATTGTTATTTTTGCAAATATTTTGCAGCACACAAATACCACACATCATCAAGGGAAGCAGACTAAAACGCTTTGACCTAAGAGGCCTTTGTGCAGAAGAAATTTCATCAGCTTAGAAAACACAAAACCCTCAGACAATCATTTTGGGCAACACAGATACAATAAATGCAATATGACTAGTGAGCAGCAAAGTGCATAATGTTTTGGGTTAGATATTACTCCCCCCCACCCCAAAGACATTTAATAGTTGTTTTGCACAGGATCAGTACTTTAGAAAATAAAATGAATATTGAATTGAATCTTATCTGTATTTATATGTAATTTCCAGTAATATTCATATTCCACACTTGCTTTGCATTTCAGACATTCAAATGGAACAAATGCAAATTATATGTAAGAATACACTTTGCTCTTAGTTTTGTATTATTACACCATGTCTTCTCCCCCCCCCCCCNNACTTCCGATGCAAACCTTTAATAACATGAAATAACATATTACGCACTTTAACGGCTAAACTATTCAAAACAGAAATGTTACACTGAACTCTAGAGTGAACACTGGAGTGAGATTAGTGCCTCCAACTAAACAGAAGCACCGTGTTAGAAGAGCAACAGAGTATCCATGCAGACAAATAGTTTGATCATTGTCATCGAGTTTATTCTAGATCATAAACTATTAAAATACCCAAACATTAGATTTACTGCTGCTGGGATTTCAACAGGTTCAGAACATCAACAGGTAGTAGTCTTTGTAATTTTGGGTCACATGACTAATATTCTATTTTTTTAAAAATGCTAAAACAAAAACAAACATTTTCCTCATTTTAATTTGTCTAAGCCAACTGAAGCTTATGTTAATGTGTGTGCACTTGCACTGCAACAGCTCCTGTCATTTAAGTCACTGTATGTCCTTCATAATGAGACAAATGTTAGTGTGCCACCTTATGGACACTGTTGTTATTACTGTCGAGCGAGACTTCTGGAAGCAAAGGGAATAAAGAAACTGAAAAAAATATATATATATGATACAAGAAACCCATAAAACAAAACCAAGAGGCATATTTCACCTTTGTAAAGTTATTACCGGTTGTCACCCTGGTTCCATTTAGAAACATAAATAAGAGGCACAATTCACACCACGCTCTGCTATTGATGTTATGACATCATGTTTTAGGAGCACAATCAGGAAGATCACTGCAATAACCGAGTCACTCAGTCGGAAGAGTTCGCCTTTTGTTTTGTTGTATGGCTCCCTTTTTTTCAGGTCGTTCAGCCAGTACAGTGGGTAGTCCATCTTGCACATCTTGTGCCAATTAAAAACAGCATATTTGAAAAACAATCAGTTCCAGCACCATCTCTCTATTGCTTTAATCACAAACAGTTAGACACGGCAACAATTAAGTAACAAATTGCCATGGGAGGGATACATTGCATGTATACAAGCGCAAACAAACCCTTCATCAGTCTTTTTTTTTTTTTTGGTACATAACATTGAGGCAGCCCTTCTTTTGTCCACTTTTGGTTGTGCTGTGAACATGATCACACATCCAAAAACAGCACGAGAAAGTGCGCTAAACACTGCTCAATGAACAGACACTGGCTGGTTTTTATCTCTGTTACATATGAAAAGATGACCCGATAATGGAAAAGAGAAAAAAAAAGGAAACACACCCAGCAACAATAAATCAGTCACTACTCCCAATGTTGAGCACCTGTCCAATAGTGAGAAAAGGTTCATTTCAGTACCAGTTCGTACATTAACAGATTTACAACATTGGTGGCCATGAATGTTTCAAGAAAAGAGGCATCAGCCATCCAACAGGTTTACTATGAGTAGAAAAATAAAACATTTGGAAAGCCAATGTTTGCTTAGCCTCTATTCAAACTATGCAGCAGCAAAAGCAGCAACAGCCCTGGCCAATAGATTTTCTGTTGGACTACACAAAGACACACACATCGTCACACACATACAAACATACATGCACATAATCTTTCAATGTGTAAAAATAGAAGATTGAACACAGCTAGTATATAGATAGATAAATCTACTGCTTATGGTGGACGTTTCAAATCTGCATTTTTCCATTAACGTCAATCAAGTACCTGTCTAAATCTGAGATTTATACATCTTTTTCCACTTCTATACATTTTCTATAAAAAAGACATGGCTTAAATTAATGGATGATCAACAGGCCTAAAATACCTTCTTAATTCTCCTGTGCACTTTTACAAAATCCATTTTATTTACTAAAAAAAAGTAAAGAAAAAAGTAAAGAAAAGAAATTCCAGCAAATGAAATCAAACCGGCTGAAAGCTCACTAATGTGTCACTGTATTGTTTGCTTGCTTGGATAAACAGGAACCATAGGACACAGCAGGCACCCACCTGGGATGTCATACGTACAAATGATAGAACGTTTACATTAATTAACCTTCGGGGATGTGTAAGAGTGATGGGTGGCTGCTGCAAAGCGGCTCAAAGAAGCCACTGAGAAGGGAATTTACATTCTGAAGCCCCACATGAAAAATCTCAAATTTAGTGACTGTATTCTGGTCTTAGTGCACAGTAGAAAGTACCCCTGAGTTCTAGGACAGGGTAGGTGCTTTATCATTTAGAGCACCGTTTAAGGGGAGGGAGGCGGGGCGGCTACATGCCCGAGGGTCTTCGAGGCTCTTTAGGGAATGGCGGGGCAAAAAAAAAAATGGTCCTGGGCTAACAGTGGTGGGGGACGTTTGAGCTGAGAAGAAGCATTATTGGGGGAATATGGTACAGTGGATAAGGCTCTGGTATACAATGTCATGGTCTTCCTTGGTCTCCCCCTCCCCCGGCTGCAACCGCTCTTTCATATGCAATCATATTTCTAAGCAGCTACTTCCTTCATCACCAGGTACTTGGGCCCGGGGATATTTCAGATTGCACGTTACATTGATTCTATGTTGTTTGTACTCTCTCCTCTCTCTCTTTTCCTACCTTGTAGGAAATTCCCGCTCTGTATTCCTTTGTCCTACAGTTCATACAGTTTGCTCTCTGGACTGCCCTCACCCATCCCTCCCCCTGTTTATTTCAATGCTGATTGCTCTGTTCTCAGGTCCACAGGCTCAGTGACATGGCTGTTACGTCACGGCCTCTCCCCCCTCCCACCCCGAATAGCAGAAAGTAGCTGTGTTGGGGGCTTTTAGATTTATTAATCAATGGGAATTTTGTCCTCTAGTTCCAGTGGGCTGTCCTCAGTGGGCTCCTCACTCTTTCCCAGCTCCTGAAGCAGCTGCCGCCTATGCACCTCTGCCTTCAGGTTCTCCAGATCCTTTTGGCTGTAAGAAAAATACCACAAAAAAAGAAAATCAATACCGGACATCTCTGGTATAGCTTGAGCATTTGAAATGTTTCCTCTTTTAGTTCTCCTGTCACTTAGAGATGTTTTTGTCACTCATGTCAAGTCTGTTAAAAGTAGAAATTACTACTTGTAGTCCTCATAAAACCTGTTCCCACTCCTGGTCCTGAAGAGCCCCAGCACTGCATCTTTCCCTGCTCCTTCCACACATA